CCCACCCCCCACCCCATCCCCACCTTACCATCCACCCTTCCCTAAATAAAAATTATTAATAGTACTTTCTTTTCATGTTGTAGATAGATTTATGTTTTCATTTTAACAAATGAGTGTGTTTTTTATGATATAAAAAAGTATTTTTTTTCATTTTACAAAAAAATACTTTCTTTTTATGTAGAAAAGTATTTTTTTCATTTCACAAAAAAATATTTTCTTTATATGATGTAACAAAGGTATTTTTTTTCATTTCAGCCAAATGAGTATTTTTCTTTTCATGATATAGAAAAAGTATTTTCTTTTATTTCACTAAAATGAGTACTTTATTTTATGTTGTAGAAAGAGTACTTTCTTTTTCAACAACAAAAAAGTATTTTCTTTTTAGTTATGGAGCACAAATTTCAATATTATTTTTGCGTAAAAAAGTAAAGCAGCACATTAGTTCTCTTGGGTTTATGTGAATTTTTAAAGACTTGGGGGAAGGGGGAGGGGTGAGAAGAGTAGTATAAAAATATATTTTCCTAAAAAAAATTCTACTCTCTAACCAAATACTAGAAATTTTCCATTCACCAACCAAACAAGGGAAAATAAGTGATAAAACCACTCATTTTCCGTGAAAATATTTTCTATGAAAAACATTTTCCTTCATACCAAACACACCCATAATATTAAGAGCTAACTTAGTTAATTCTCAAACTTGAACAAATAAGAATGAAATAGTATAAACCAAATTTATCCAAACTGAATCATCATTAATTATTATTTTTTAGTAACTAAAGCCTCTCTACAAAGGTAACATTGTAACCATTGAGGAAAATTAATTGAGGAGACGTAAGAGTCAATTCTTCAATTTATGTTATTTCACAAATTTTTGAGAATTTTAATGAAAGTAGCTAATTTTATTTTTGTCTTCTTCAAAAAATTGATACAATATATTTTAGAAAAACTCTTACATCTTCAAAAGTGATGTGTTCTTCCTGAAACAAAAAGGAAGTATAATAACTTGTGAAATTATACCGATAAAATTATAATAGTGGAACAAAAATTTAAGGTGAATATATTTGAATGATGATTGAGGACTCTACGAGACATAATTTCTTTTTTCATTGAGTTCGCAATATATAATGAATATTTTTCAATTTCTAAAGCTTAATCTTTATTATAACTGAAATATGTTCCTAGAGCTTAACCTTTATTTTATATCTGAAATATGTTTTCTAAATAATATTTATGTAAGTCTTTTTAAAAAATTATTCATTGACAACTTGTTTGGATGGTAGTAACATATTGTTTCATAATCTATTGTATTGTATTGTATCGTTTAATGAATACAATGTTTGGATATATTGTATCGTTTGCCGTTATTCTATGATATCGCACACCAGCAATATGAAGAATAAACTTGAAATATTTTAAAAAAATATTATGATAAGGGGTAAAATTATTATATAAAAAATCGGGTAAATGATAAAATAAAATTATTTAATAATAATGAAGAATAAGATGAGAGAAAAAGACAAGGTAGCGACGCGACCACACCAAATTGATCGTTACATAAAGTGACACATTTCGTCGCTACATAACAACGGATTTAATGACACGATACAATAAAATTTAAATAACAATCAAAACAAATATCGTATTTAAAGTAACAATACGATACAATACAATATATAACAACCATCCAAACAAGCTATTAATTGGGGTACAATCAATTTAAAAATATGTGAGAAAGTATAGTTCTAATAGTAGGTAAGCGCGTGTATAATAGGAATTACAAAGATTGAACATGTTATATATGTGTGTACCTTTAATGTAAAGAAAACGTGATGGAAATAAACATGATAGCTATTTTTAGTGGTGTTCATAAAAACCGGAAAAATCGAAAATCGAACCAAATCGATCAAAAAATGATATATTTTAGGTTTGAACGGTTTTGGTTTTGAATTTTAAAAACCGATCAAGCTTGGTCTGGTTTTGGTTTAATAAAAAAATGACAAAAATTGAACCGAACCGACTATAGAAGCAACTATTTAAATTTATTATTACATTTATATCTATGTATAAGCAACCTCCACTTCCAACCAAGAAGTTGTGAGTTCGAGTCACCCCAAAAGCAAGGTGAGGAGTTTTTGGAGGGAAGGATGCCGATGGTCTATTTGGAAACAGCCTCTCTATCCCAGGGTAGGGGTAAGGTCTGTGTACACACTATCCTCCCCAGACTCCACTAGTGGAATTATACTGTATTGTTGTTGTTGTTGTTGTTGTTGTACTTATATCTATGCATATTTTTATATAAAGTTTTTAAAATTTATGGTACATATTAATCATTTGTATTTTTAGTCTAATTCTTTACTATTATAATAATCTAATTGATTGCTTTTACATTCTAGTTTGACCGATACTTTTCTTTTGTTAAGTACAAGAATTTATTTTATGTTAAAAATAATCGATTTTTAATTGAGTATTTAAATTATTCATTACTATTTGATTCATTTATCATCAATATATCTTGGTAAATAATAGATTTCACAAAAATCAATTGATTTGACAGTGTTACGTTAAAAATGTGATCGCCGGAATATGTGTTTGGTGGTGTATGTCTCATATTTAAGGAAAGATCGATAAATAACCAAAAAACCAAAAACCCGACAAAGATCAAATCGGTAAAAAATCGACTTATTTGATTTAGTTTGGTTCCAATATTTAAAGAACCAACTTACTTTATTTGATTTCTTTTTAGAGAAAAACCGATCTAAATCGAACCATGAACCCCTAGTTATTTTTTTACATTTTATTATTGAAAAGGTTAAAGTTGTTCGATCCTTAAACAAGATGGCGTAGAAGTGTCGGTTTCAAACTTAAAGGGTCTAAGTGAGTATTTAAGCCCCTAACTTATTTGCTTGGATTAACCTATCTTGTTTCTTTTCTTCTTCTTTTTGATCCCATACAAATAACAATCTCGTCGCCGCCGCTGTCCCCGCCGTCCGCCGTCCGCCGTCCGCCGTCCGCCTTGGTGGGTTACTACCGGCGTTCAATTTTTCTCTAATTTGGTTAAGGTCAGTTCACCACAGTTGCCTTCCATGCCCTCAAGAATAGAGTGTTTAAATGTGTCTTGTTTTTTATGCTTTATCATAAAATTTCTTTTTGGGCGCTGTATATTTTATGGAAGCTTCAAAATCTGTTGTTTCTGTTTGTATTTTTTTTTTGTGATTAATTCTTTGGAATAATTTATGATAGTTACTATTTTACTGGTTTTAGATAATGGTAGTCTTTCATGGTTCACCTAATTGTTGTTAACCAGTAATAATTTAAAGGATCAAAGTTCTAATCTAGAGATAATAGACACAGTAATATCATGCATTTAATGCCCATGAACCAATTTCTCATAATTATAGAGATAATAGTCACAGTAATATCATCCATTTAATGCCCGTGAACCAATTTCTCATAATTGTAGAGATAATAGTCACAGTAATATCATCCATTTAATGCCCGTGAACCAATTTCTCATAATTATAGAGATAATAGACACAGTGATATCATGTATGCATTTGGTAAGAGGGACATGACCATTTCTCATAATTATTATAGAGATAATAGACATAGTAATATCATGCAATATGCATTTGGTAAGAGGTTAAAAAGGACTACCATTTCTCATAATCATAAGAGAGATGTTGGAAATTTATTCTTTGTATTGTGAGGACCATGAAGAGGTGGAGTCAGCCCTGTCAAATGTTTTGGGTGATGTTTCTTTTGCAACATACTCTATTTTTTATAGAAAGGACCCTAGAATTATTAATTTTTGTCAAGTTTCTGAAAATTTTAGCTTCTAAGTTCTGCGGAGAAGTATAGTTCTTTCAGAAATAATTCGATAGATTAGGATGTTGTACCAGTTCATTCTGCAGCAGTGTTCTTTTCTTTTGAAGTAAGCTCTATTTTTTACCAGATGGCTTCACTGGAAGAAAGTTTGCAGAGGTTCTAGAAGCAGCAGAAGAAGTGCCAATCTACACTTAGAGTATAGCTGCCAAAGCAGGACCTCCGATGCCAACTCCGTCAAAATAATACATTGCCAACTGCAACAGTGACAGCTAGTGCTAAACCTCCTGCCCCTGCCGTTTAATTTTCAAATGACTCAGAAAGGCTTCAACACATACATAGCATAAGAAAAGCTCCCGTGGGGCCTCAGATAAAACGTGTCATAGACTTGCTGCTGGAGGTATATCCCTACCCTCGATCTCCTATTTGCTTTTAGCAATTTCATATATTTTTTTCCCTGAATCGTCATCTTTGTAATGCCTTTTGCAGAGTTTTGTCATTGTTTACCTTGTTTTGCTTATGTGCATCTTGTATCCATATATGTACCTTTATCAACTTAGAAGAAATGTGTGAATATGAGTATTGCGTTAAAATTGGAAATATGTACATAAGCAAAACACGAAATGTGTGAATATGAGTATTGCGTTAAAATTGGATCTCGGTGATGTCACTTTGAGGGTAAGTTGTATTTTCTATCTTTTCTGCTTGCAGAGTGAAATTTCAGGGTCAAGTTAATTTCTCATGCCTACATTTAATCTCATGATATATGGCATATACAACTCCTATATGTCTGAAGAAATTCTTGTACATATCACTTCAACATTCCTTAGCTTCTTAAAGACTTGCAACTTTCTTTGCTTAGCAAATAATTCCCTTCTTTATCTCCTCATTTGTTCCTTCATCTTTTCATTCTTGTGTGTGGAGGTGGATTTTGGGTTGATAGGGTTGCAGGATTTTCCATTTGGAGACCTATACCCTTGAAAGATTGTAGGTTTGAGGTGTTTAGCTGGGTGATAAATACTTTAAGTCCTTGTTTGTCAAAAAACAAAAAGAAAAAAGTTGTTTAGATATCCTGCAAGCCCATTCTTTTAAGATTGGGCTTCTTAAAATCTGTCTGCTGGACTTTCATGTACTAGTTTGATTTATTGATCAGTAAGGATGGTGCTGCTCTCTTCAGTTTATGCTTGAGAACGTGATAATCCTTAATCTCTGGCAGTATGGCTGGTGCCTGTGCCGTCTACTTGTTAAGATAAGAAACTAATTGCATGATATGTGCTTTTGTCACTACTAAAAAACAGTGCAATCCCGTCCACTATTTCCGACCGAAATCGGTCGGAAATTGATAATTTTCGACCGAATTTTGACCGATTTTAATTGATCGGAAAAATTATGGTCGCAAACGTGTTCGGTCGGAAATTTCAAAGCGTTGACTGACTGTCAAACTTTAATTTCTGATCGAAATCGGTCGGTAACTATTAATTTTTTTAATTAAATAATTAGTTAATTTATTTAAAAAAATAAATATAAATTCATAATTTCCGACCGAATTCGGTCGAAAATTATGAATTTCTGCGCAAAAAAAATTAAATCTAGGTAAAAACTGGGTAGAAAATGCCTATTTTTAAGCTACACCACCTGCCAATTACAACCAATATCCATCCTATAATGGCAACATTACATTGCTGCCATTCAACCATAATTTTAAATGATAACATTTGTTTATATTATAAAATCAGTACATGGGTTGTACTAAAAACCATATTTACAGGTAAATGCTAACTAGATGCACTAGTGTGCAATCCTAGTAAGATCCTAATATGTCTATGATTGACAATGTATCTTCTGTATAAATCTGTTTACACCAAAAACAAAAAAGAAGAATACAATTGAGTTTGATCTTCTGCACTGAGTTACTTTTGTCTTCAAAACATCTAGCATTCCTTTCCTTCCGGACTGTCCACCAGATGCATGCTGGGACAATCCTCCATCTATCTCTGTTAGTTGTTTCAGCTCCAACTTCTTCCCAACTAAAAAGAACTTCAGTGATCTTATGGGGCATTGTCTATGAAATACCCCTAAGATTAATAAAAATTTTCCATAGTTGGTTTGTTATCTTGCAGTGTAGAAATAGATGGCTAACTGTCTCAGCACTTTTCCCACATAGAAGACATTTTGAGCACAAAGAGATTCCTCTCTTTATGAGATTATCCTGGGTTAAGACAACATCTTATGCTAATAGCCAAGTGAAACAAGCTACCTTATAGGGAATCTTGGTTTTCCATATATGCTTCCATGGCCATTCAACCATAATTAATCAACAACAATGAATATACTAACAACAACAACAACAATTAACTAACACTAACAACCATTATCTAACAACCACAACAACAACTAATAACAACCACAACAACAACTACTAAAATGTTCAATAACAAAATAACAATACAATCATCATTCAAAACTAGTTTCAACTAAATATTGACAAGTTCAATACTTTGTTTAGCAATACACACCATTCGATGAGTGTTTTATCTAGCATAATCTCCATCTTCACTCCTAGAACCTTCATCGTCGGCACATGGGGAAGGCTCACGAGACCGAGAAATGGGGAAAGCACCACTAGCAAGAAGATTGGCCAGCTGACCTTGAAGGAGATTAAATTGTCCGCCCCTCCTTTCTAGTTGAACTTGAAGGGTACCAAATTGTTCATCTCTCTTTTTTCTCTAGCCTTCGTCTCTTCAAGCTCTGCTGTCAGCTTTGCCATCTTCTGTTCCATAGACGATATAGTCGACGTATCAATCGCCTCGCCTTGGGCGGAAGTCCCTATACCTTGTAATCCAGCCCTGTAGCGCCGAAGTGATTTATCTGGAAGGTCGTATACTATCCCCTTTTTAGAACCACCGACAACATCCAACCATATCCTCTACGCTTTTTCGTCTGAAATGGGCGGTCGCTCACCTTGCTCATTCGGTGGCAAGCTCTGAGTGTACTCCTCCATATTAATCTTGTAGCGACCCTTTATTTAGAAGATAGAAAATTACTAACTATATAATATTATAAACATTTATAGTAGTTATGGAACTTACATGCGTAGTCTCCGCCCGGTCCTCGACCTATCTAGTTGGATCTGTCGGTGCCTTCTTCCGGATGTGAGTCTCCATGAAGAACTCATTATGAGTCATCTTCCTCCCATATTTTTTTTCCTACAAATATAATAAAACGTGTTAATGAAATTAACATATGTAAATATAGTTCGAAAAAAATAGACCGAAATATTTTAAGGAATTACCAGTTGTCTCCTTGTATCCCTCATGCTCCTTGAACCCAGACACTGCAATGAGACACCCTTCTCAGATGCTCGGGCCTTCTTTCCCAGTTCACTTTGCTTCTCGAATTTCTCGGTGGCCCAATACCTTTGCAGATCCTCCCATAAATCCGGTAGAACACATGAAGGCTTTTTGTTAACCTTTCGAGCGGAGCAGAAGGAATTAAAGAGTCTCTTACGACATTTGTACTCCCAATTTGTACAAATTTCACGATTATACCGGTCCTCCCGGGCATACTTAATCTGCAAATAAAGTACGTAACGTAGATGAAAATATTGTTAATATAATGCTTAAATAGATAAGAATTGTATTAAAACCTTAAATTAGTTGAACATTTGTTGCACGAGATCCTCTGGAAAGTCACTCCAAGTCGGATATGGTGCATTATACAATCCGCTAAGAATATCAGTGGTTATCTTTGTAACCTGATGATTAGGAATGAACCTGCAACGTAGCAATTACATTAAATAAACAAGAGTAGCTATTATAATTCAGCAAAAATGAAGAAGTAATAAATAAATCTTACCCATTACGATCATCCTATGATAACGATCATAACGCACTTCATCTGGATCATCATCCTCCGATGAATCTGAAGCGTGCACAGAAGTGAGGGCATCTGGCTTAGTGCTACTATCCCGAAGACGAAGTCTAGAAATGCTAAGAGACGAACTCCGTAGAGAGGGAGACGGGGTCCCTGATGAAGATGGATGCGATCCACACCCCTGTATCAATCTAGACCCCTGCTACGATCCATACCACTGCTGCGATTCGGCCGGCTGAAATCTAGGTGGATGCGATCTAGCTGGAGATGAAGCAAATGGAGCAGATGACGGGTGTACACATGGCTGTGACTGGTGACTCGATGCACCCATGTAACTACTTGTATGATCATGTGGAGGAAGCAGGGCATAGCCTTGTGGCGGAGAATGGTGATAATACTGCTGGGCGGGCGAATGGTAGGTAGTATGATGAGTAGATGGATGTGGTGGAATAGTTCTGTGCCTAGAAGATTGCTGCCGGCCATCAGCAGCAGAGGGATGCAAGTGTGGAGTGGAAGGAAGCGAGGATGTATCACCATCATCATGACNGAGTGGAAGCGAGGATGTAGCACCATCATCATGAACAATAGGCCTTTTATCCTTCCTAGACCGACCTCGACCCCTACCGCCCTTTTGCATAAATTAAAGATAATGTTAGAATTGAGAATATAAATCTATATAAGTTGAGAGCGCTTGAAAAAACTAACATGCTAGTCGTCTTCGTCGACGTATCCTTCCTTTTCACTTATTTCATTTTCATTAGGTGATTCTTCATCCTCATTTGGATTGTTATTTCCTCCCTATCAACTTCTTCTAATATGCATTGAGGATGCTCCAAGTAATTTTCTAACTGATCATCTACCATTTGGTTAACACTTGAGGTAT